TTTAATGGAACATTACCATTTCCCTGTTTATTTTCACTCATACTCACTCCTACATTTTGATATAGCAGCAATAAATACTGTTTACAAACTTCTGGCTACGTGTTTGTCGTTTTTTGGATAATATTTATAGATTCATCAGATAATTTTTTACAGGAAACACCCTGCAAAAAAAGACGCGTTAAGGTATGTGAAAAAATGACTTTGTTATTAAGGTAAATAAAGAAAAAAGGGTCATATTAGGTAATTTTATTTTAATAATATTATCTTTACTATTTTGAAGATATTCTATAATAAATACTATTTGAAGTAAAGATAAAAACACTAAAGAGACAGAGAGAGAAAGAGAGAGCTTCTAATTCAAGTCATCTATGAAACGGATAAAGCATTATATACAGTAATTCAGTACTTCGTTAGTACTCACGTAATCATCCATAAATAATAGAATACGATAATTGGTGCAATAGGTGTAATATGTTAAAAAAGAAATATTAGCATAGAAACTGGGACTACAGTATTGAAAAGTCAGCAGAAAAAATTGGCAATGCGAAGCGAATAGATACGACCAATAGAATTATTTTCCCTTACATCATGAGAATTTTTTATTGTAATAGATAAAATAAAAGAAAGCATATTAAATTAGGCAATTAATTAATTGGAACTAATTAAAGTAAGATATCAAGAGTAAGGGAAATAGAGGGATTATAGAGATTTTTATGCATGATTTCAAATGTTACCTCTCATCTTTATTCACATTTTTATTATTATTAATTAAACAAAGAGCTTCTTCTCTGTTCTTAAGTAATATGAGAAACCTTCCTAGAATAAAGAATAATACAATTATTGAGGTTTAGTTTGTATTATTTATATATATAATATTACTTAAATAAATCATACTTGAAGTGAAATGCCATTAAATTTTCATTAAAATAGCTTTACCCTCTAATTTACTTCAATGCTTCCTTTGTATCAATTGTTTATATCGCTTTATGAATGAACGACTACTGAAAGCATAACTATAAATTTATATACTAATGAATACTAATTAGATATACAGTATATAGCTTTATTTATTAACTTTGATGACGTTTGCATTAGAAACAAACTCTTACTACACTCGTTAATTAAGCTACTTGCTACTCTTCGCATCGCTATTCTATTGGAGATGAAACATATCACGTACTTTATTAGTTCTTAAATATAATTTCCCTCAAATCTTATCTCTTGATGAATTGAACTATAGAAAAATAATTAACTTAAGCCTATTATTAATATGGAAAATAAGAAAAGGTTAGTAGCATAGAATAAAGAAGAATAGACTATCATAAATGATCGATAAAATATCATCCTTCACCTATTTGTATTTATGAAATATGTAATAAATAAATGAGATATTGAAGTCTACAGAACATAATACAATTGAAAAATAAAATAAAAGGTCCTCTTTATCTAACTAAAAACTTGACTAAATTAATTGACTAATGTGTCTAATTATCTCTAATGTATTTATACTTCAAATACATCAAGAACAAAGATATTACAATGATAACTCTTCTAAAACATACATGTTCGTTGTTTTAATAAGTTTTCTAATAAAAAGACTATGATTATAAGCTATTTAGTTTGTTCCTATGACGTCACAGGGTTAAATTATACAGTTGCATGTGAAAAAAAAGGGAGCATCTCTATTGAGAAAGGTGAAGAAACGCAAAGAGGCTAATATAGAGAAAAAGATAGAGATAGATAGAGAGCGCACGCGCAAGGGAGAAAAATAGAAAAAGGAGTGGGGTATAAAAAAAGACTTGTGAAGGAAGGAGAAAAGGAGAAGGAGATATGGCAGCAAACTTGACGGATGAATGGCATAGCTGCGAAATATTTGGTTTTATAGTTGTTGGTATATCGTTAAGTTTAGTCAATCTTATTGGTATTAGCGTGAATATTATTGCTATTGTGGCATTATTTCTTGATAAAGTGAAAAATAGCACAACTTGTATGTTAATTGGTCTGGAGATAGCGGATACTCTTTTTTTACTATCACATTCAGTTGTTCTATCCTATATTGACTTGTTTAGATACTCATCTAAGTTGGCTAATCAGAGAATGTCTCCTCTTGACACGTATGGTTATATTAGCGTAAGTCAAAAGGTTTTTTCTCCAATACTAACGGGATCTTTAATGGCTAGCAGTTGGCATATGATAATTATAACTTTTGAAAGATATATTGCAGTATGTTTACCTCATCATTCTTCGAAAATCACAAGAAGAACAACTTTAATTGCTCAAGCATTTATATTTGTCTTTGCCTATTCTATAAATATAACTAGAAGTTGGGAATACGAACCAGAATACGTAAAAGAAAAAGGTCATTGGATTGTCTCTCCATCAGATATGAAGAAAAAATCATATTATGCTACTTATGTTACCGTTCAATATTGGGTCATTCAACTTGCTACACCAATAATAACAGTAACGTCTATGACAGGGTTAATAATTAAGGTTGTTTACCTAAAAATCCTATAAATATAGATATTGATTTAAAAATTTACTAATTTTTCAATAAACCTTCTTTATAGAGATTAAAAACAACAACAAGAAGTAAAAAATCGGGATTAACAAAATCCATGATCATTGTTAATCTTATCTATATTATAACTCAATTGATTAACGGAATAAGAAGAATACTGGTAGCAGTTTTGTCAAAAGATGCTATAACGGAATGTGAACGACCTTACTCATATATTTATGGATTCGCCGTTGCTGCTATATCAATTAATGCGTCGGCGAATTTTTTTATATTCGTTCTATACAATAATCATTTTCGGCGACAAGTTCAAAAACTGTGGGCTACGTTAAGACGGCGCATAAATCGCGTTGGTATAGAAACAACAACAGATACGCCTACTAAAAATGAAGCCGTAACAAGTAGTAGAAGTTGAAAAAAGAGTTTTTACTTTTTTCTTTTTTTATTAAAAAAAAACTGAAAAGAAGAGAAGAAAACAAAACTCCTTTATTACTTTTCCATCTCTCTCTCTCTCTCTCTCTCTTCTGTCGCCTCTTTACCTTTTAATTTTACACTGAAAGACAATAAATTACTATAGTTTTTCTTTGTTTTTTTTTTGATCCGTATTTAGATGCAAAAAATAAAAAAAACTTAATCTACATAATTAACTATGCACTGAATAAAATTAAATATTATTCATTCTATTCTAAATATAGGAAAATAAAATAATAACTTAATAATTTCATCCATTACATTCTATTTCAATAAAAAGATTAAGAGAATAAGAAGAGTGTAATAGAATTTTGTTATATTTACAAAAAAAAGCCATCTATTGTAGGAAGACTAGTGTACAATTCCTATTATATGATAATATAAGTATTAGTAATATTATCAGTTTAAGTACTTGTAATTTACGCAACTCTTCTTCTTCTTTAATAAGAAATTCTTAAAAGATTTCGGACAACAATTCGAAAATTGAAGTCGCCAGTTTTGAACTTTTTTATTACAATCTTTCTTTTTATCTGGTAACTTGAATATGAAGAGAAATAGTTAAGGATAGCTATTATAGTATTATACTAACTTTTTCTCAAACAACTAAAATAGTCTATAGTTCTACTTTGGTATAACATTGAGTGGGATTACAATTGAACTAAATGTATTGAGATAGTCCCAAATTGATAAAAGCCAAAAATTAAAGATTATATCCATTAAATTATACATATTGCGTATATTATGTTAATATCTTAACTAATAGATTTTATTCTTGTTGTATTTGATATAGACAGATTTGGTACTTAAAAGTGTATGGGACAGTTAAATATTGTATGCTTTTATACGCCAATGAATTCCCAGGAAATCGCCCACATAAAATCTTTTGTTCTTTTATAAAAGAGTTAATATAACAATATGCAAAAATTTGTCATACATTTTATTAAATTTATACTAGATATCAGTTTTTACCATATCTAACTTGAATATTTATATAACCAGATTAACCGGTGGACGTATTCTAGTGTAGAATCGATGTAGAGCCACTATTCATTTGCTTATTTTTGAACAATTGGACTACTTCGCTCTACGGACTGGCGGACGGACGAAATCTTTTATATGCTATTATATAGAAAAAAGAATATATTTGTGAACTAGTGACTTATGAATTATACTCTGATGATTGAGGCGAGTATTTCCGATGAATTAATATCATTTATCGACAGCAGAAATGTTGGTATCAATGAAAATGCCCTCGATATATTCTCGAAAGACAAATGTAAATTAAAATGTTTAAGGATTCACGGACATAGAATTTCAACTTCTTCAAGTTTATCATTTCTTCAATATCATGACATAACTTTTCTTAGCATTAAACGTCTGAGATCGTGTAGTCTGGACTCTTGGTTGCCATTTACTAACTCGAAGACTTTAACAAAATTACATCTTAGAGAATGTCTCATAGTAAATAGCAACGCTACAAATCGGACTACGGAAAACGACAAACTGTCATGTTTAGGAGCTTTCAAATCACTTTTATCATTGGATTTGAATTCAACTGATATAGATAATTTTAGCCTCGATACAATTTGCAAACAACTAAGTCATTTGGAGGATTTAAATATCTCTAGAACAGATATTAATGATCTAAAACCTTTAAAAACTCTTTGTAATTTGCGAAATTTGGATATATCTTTCTGCCTAAACTTTGCCAATTGTACAACCTTAAACGTTCTAAAGGATATTAAAAATTTATGTTTTGCTGATATATCACAGCAAAGCTTTACTTCTAGTCAAGCAGATCAAATTATAGAATTAATTAGTACAGTTTTCTGGTCTGATCTCCTCCACTTAAATATCTCTGGTCATTGGTGTCCAGATTCAAAATCAATAGAGTATTAACTTATAATTATAAATAATAGTGGACCATTCTTAACTTTAAATCATAACTACAGAATTTTCCTATCAAGACATAACAAGTTACGATTTCTTGGGTTGCTGTTTACCAATGCAACAAATATAGATTGGGAATTATTACACCAATATAATTCTGATCTAATACTGGTGTGTCTGTTTCTATTAATTTATTATAATCTATATTATAACACAACACTTTATTTCAAGGTCTACGAAACGCCCCAAAGAACAATTTACTCAATTTTAAATTATTATATTGAATGTAAGGAGGGTAAGGCGTTTTTAAAAGATTGGCTACCATTATGGCATAAAAGAATACTAAATATATTCACTGATTCAAATGTTAAAATGTTCAAGAGAATTCACATAGATACGATTTTAGAGGTAAACAATAATTAGGCGTATGATTTTTGTAAAAAAAAAAATTACCTATAGTTTGTATATGTCTCTTACTTTTAGATTCTACTTGATGTAGTAAATACAAGAAAATTTTCTATTATTCATTCTTATGTGGAAAGAGAAGAATATCCTATTATGTGTAATTTACTGTTAGCTTTAAGGGATATGGAAATAGTGGACGTGTATTTCTCATCGAAAATGAAAGAAGATTTGATCTTTACCTGCTATACAATATTTATAAATAATCCAAACAGCAACGATCTGTTGAAAGAATGTCTTGAAACTATATTATATTGTAAAGATGAATTAGCAGTGGTAAAGTAGCAACATAATATAATTGTAATAGTATATTTTATATTACAATTAAATCTTAAACATTTTTGACAGATTGAAGATAAATTTGGATTTTTAAAATATCTTTCCAAGCCTGTATACGATGTTGAACTATTCGAATTAACGATCAAACTAATCTACTGTCTTCAGAAACTAATAGACTTTAGATATGTAAGAAATTTTATTATCTAAATAATTAGAATATAAGCATTTAAATATTTTTTAGATCGCCAAAAATCATATTGTCGAGCTAAGTCAGAATATTGATAAGTTTCTATCAGAATTTAAAACTTATAAAGGTTTAGAAAATCAAAGATATCAAAGAATTTCTAAAGAATTAAATCCTATATACTTGTCTTATGATTAAATCTTAAACTGTATTGTTTTAAAAGAAAAAGTGGGTACTTTTTAAGTAAAAGTCAACAATATAACTTGTTTTTATTTATTACAATTCTATAAAACTTATATTCGGAAATATCTGTTACAATGTGTTATAATATAATATAACATTTATTGTTTCGTAGCAAAAATTTGTCCAGAATTTGAGCCAATCTTTTCATAGTCTTTTTAACATAAGACCAGTTGGCCTTACAAATATTTTTGACAGTGAATGAATATGTTTTCTAGCGGGAGATTAAACGAGTCGTGACAAGTATATTTCTCTTGTGCTATAAAGAGAGAATATATTTATCTCAAGGTGATCTATTAGCCTTTTTATAACATTATACTGTATATATTTCATGTAAAAACAGAAAAAAAGAAAGAAATGAACATTTATATTCTTTGAATATTCAACTTCAATAAAAGATAAAATAAAATTATTGAGTTCCCATTTTTTATAACAACTATATACGGATTTTAATCCTGATTGGATTAAAGTTATATTCTATCTAAAGTAGAAAGCTCGGGAAGAAATTGAAGGCTTACATAGTTGAATGATCTTGTTTTTCAAAATGATTATTATCCACAAGTTCTTTATGCAGTATAAGAATGACTAAAACTATTTCGTTTAGTTCAAACACGTATCAAAAAGGGAAAAAGGTGTCTTTAATTTTATGGCTATACAGTAATTTTAACTAAATGTGACGCTTTTTGCAAATTTTTTTTTGGTTTTTATTTCGAACATTTACTAAATACGTGATTCATTTCAAGTCCATTAAATCTCTGTTTTATCACATAATAGTCAATCAAGGAGCCTAACTTAGGCTACTGTTGCTGTGGATGGAAGAATAAAGTTATCCTTTAGAAGATTCAATGCGTCTTTGTCTCTTACTATACAATTCAATGTTAAAAAACAATAGAATTTGCATGAATGCTGATTAGTTTAACATACTTATACTATTTTTACAATTGAAATAGACCATAGCATTTAGAACCTTTAATGCTTAAATATTGCCTTTATTCCAATATAGATATTTATCAATACATTTGTTTTTTTAAAAAAAAAAAACCAGGTATAAGAACATCTTACTCAATTTTATCCAGAGTAAAACTCAATCCTGCATTTCAAACTATAAATAGACATATTTTCTTTCGTCTATAGCTATATATATACATATATAGATATATATATATATGTGAGTAAGTAATAGAAGCAACAACAACTACAAGAAAAGCGTTCAAGAAACAAGTTTATTTAATCTACAATAAACGAAAATTAAAAAAAAAATATGAAAATTATTAGTTTTGTTTTGTTTTTGACTATTATCGGTAAGTGTTTTATAATTATATTAATCAATTTTGACATTTTACTTAGTCATATTAAATTTTAACAGAGTGTGCGATTAGTGAACATCTAGAACTTACTATTGATGGTCCATGCCAAGTAGGTGAAGGGGATAAGACAGTTGTATATAATGTTGCAAGGCAAAAGGGAGAAGGATATTGCATGTAAATATTGAATTTTTAAAAATTAATTACCTTGATATTTTCGTTTTTTTACTTAATTAAGACATAGCGTCTCGAATAACAAGTCAGTTGAAATAATGCCTAAACGACCAGTAAACTTCAATGAGAATCATTCATTCGAAACGTATATTTTAAAAATAATTGATGATAAAATAGAGGAACCCGATGAAAAGATTGTATTCTTTTTATATTGTACTGATAATGGAACAAATACGCCAGTCAGATTTTTTGAAAGCTTTACCATAAGAGACGACGATAGTGAGTATTAGACAAGAGGGGAATTTAATCGATAAAAAGCTTTTGATAATTCTTTTCAGGTGTCCCATTTGTATCCCAATTTAGTACAAGGGTTATGGCTCATGGTAGTGTTTTTAACGGCTCAATATTTAATTTAATAGTTGAAGCTGTGTCTGGAACGGGAACTTGCTCGTAAGTCAATAAACAAACAAAAGCATATAGAAATCTTTTTTCTTCCATTTTTCTTCTTTTCTATAAACAGATTAGCTACTAGTAATAAGAATGTTATAATGATATCCAAGTTATCGCAAGCAGCAAAACATCTTGAATTTTCACAAATGGTCTCATTCCAATTGTTTGCAATAAGTCATCCAACTGTAGAAGGAAACGATGAAGCAACTTTAAAGCTCACCTGTATAGATGATAAGGACGGTAGTGAAACGACGCTATTTTATCCTACAACAGTTATACACGTTACAGGTAGATTACTTTTAATAGTTTTTACTATATTAAATGAATTTTATATGGTATCAGATACGTCAATGGTGGAAACGTCTTTTACGTTTAGTACGTTGATGTCGCAAAGTGTTATGGAGTCTGAAAAATTAAGTATTATTATTTTACGGCGTTCAGGGTCTGCTTCTTGCAGGTAAAACAAAACAAACAAACAAACCCTTATAAGATAATATATTATAATCTCTACTCTAATCAGAATAGTACTAGATTCTTCAGTTGGTAAATTACTCACTTCAGGGCAATTTATACTAAATGGGAATATTTCACAAGCTGTACAAGTTATTAAAACTCATGTTAGTATTAAACACATGCTAACTCGAAAAGAACATTTGGACATAGAATGTACAGATATATCGGACAATAGTACATATAAGGAAAGACGGCAGTTTTACATTACTAAAATACCTGGTATTGGTAGTTCTATAGTTGGAGATCCTCACTTTATACAATCGGTTTACGATGACAGAAAAAAATCTTTAAAATCGATATGTTACGATATTTCTGGAAATTCAGGCGATACTATACTTATCTTAAAACAGAATAGTAAAAATGGTATGTCTGTTTACGGTCAGTTAAAAGATGACTATTATATGCATTCTATAAAGATTATATCTCGACTGGGAAATGTGACATTTGATACTGAAACAATACATTTTAGTAATGGAGCTTCTTTGAAATGGGATAATTTTGTTGTCGAAATGTTGTACTTTGTTGGAAACTATTCAGTTATATTTAAAAAGAATAGATTACAGATTTCTTACCTGTACGGTAATGCAAGAAGGAATTCAATAGAAGTTATTATTGTTAGATCAAATCACCAGATTAGCGGATACTTTCTAGATATATCATTCAATGGTATCTCTAATAACTATTATAATACTGATGGACTTTTGGGAAGAATAGGGAAAAATAACTTTAGATTTTATAATTCCGTTCAAAGGGGTAAAGGCAATTATATAGATCAGAACGTTGCTGTAACAATTAACGGGCATTTAATAACTGGACGAATAGTTGAGAGAAATAGCGTTGAATGTTGGCTACTTTCTATTAAAGATTTGTTGATATCTAATACCGTGAGCGATTTCATTACATCCGATCCGTATGCATTTGATATAGATATACACGTTTAATATCATATTATCATTTCATTTGTTTGGTATATTCATAAATGAATACAGTCAAATCATAAGTAAACTATGTTTACTTGAAATCTATTTAAAAGAACTGTCTGCTTTCTTTCTCTTTTTTTTACCATGTCAATTACATTTCGTACTGTACTCTTCTTCAATCTAGGTCTCTTTTTTGTTTTTCCTACATATGTTCTACAATAAGAAAAACTTTTAGCCGTTGATGTTAAACTCAAAAGAGATGTTTTTTTTATTACCTATAGATAGATTATTGTAGCTAGCATAAAGGAAAATAAAGAAGCTAAATACACAGTATAATATCTAGTACTCCTGATCCGCAATTTAAAAATTTGCAATACATTGAAAAAAGTCTAGTTTATTTTTATGATAATCCTCGAGAAGATCGCATTCGGAATGTGCATTACAACAATTCTATATTTAATATTTCTTATACAATATTCTAAACGGACCTTATAGTTCTAACCTAAATATAATTTAGGTTAATACAATCGAATTATATTTTCTTAAAATTATACAGCTAAAAAAACATATCTTTCTAAACCTTTATTTGTAAATACGATCTCAAGGACAATCTCTATAAAGGTCATTTCGTATTGATCATATAGATGTCCTATATTAATATTTGACATTAAAAATTGCAGTTATATTGTATATTTGTTAAATCTATATAAAGTATATATATGTAAAAAAACAAAAAAAGAAATTGAACAAATTAACTGTCGTTAAAAGTCCTCAAAGAGAAAAAAAATATGAAGTTCTGATAAACTAGGCACAGTCGTCATCGGACAGGGGTTAGTAAACATCTTTTAGAAAACAAAAATGTACAGAAATAGGAACTATTGTCGTTTTTTCTTTGTTTTTATTCTATAAGGAAAATGTTTGAATATAAGAAATATAATTATTTTCTCATATTCGTCTTCCTTTTGACGCTGTTAGGTAAAGGATAAAGTTTTATTTCTTTTTTCTTTCCTCTCCTTTCCTCATCCCTCCCTTCCTCTCTCTCTCTCGCTCTAAATTTTGTGATGTTATATTTCAGATTTCGTCAGTTCTGATCTACTAAAATTGGTCAATATTGGACCAAGTGAAGTAGCAGAAAGTGATGATTCAATAGTTTATAATGTTAAACTATTGAGTGGAAGGGGAAAGTGCACGTTAGTCGAATTATTTTCTCTTCTTTATGCTTTTACAAGCGTTCAATTTAACGTTCATTTTAATGTCTTAATATAATAGATCGAGTTTATCATCGAAAACAAAAGTTCAAATTTCTGGTGTTTCTCCAACGGAATTTTACGAAAATAACATCGAGGAATATTATATAATACACATTAAAGATAACAGCATACCCGAATCAGACCTAAATATTATATTTCGTCTAGATTGTATTGATGAATCAAATGGTCAAAATGTTACTTTTGAAAAATTAATAATCGTTAAAGATGATGATAGTACGTTAAAATATCTTAAATAGACGTTTCTTATTAATAGAACATATTTAAAAAAAACGCCAAATATTTTAGTACTTCCTTACAAATCTCCGTTTCTTATGCAAGTTAACTTTGTTAATAATATATTGGAAGGACATTCAGAAATAATAAATATTTTTACTGTTAAAGGTTCAGGGTTTTGTAGGTAAAATATAGAAATTCACTTAAATATCTATATAATGTATATATATATACAGTACATTTTCTTTAATTTTAGGGTTTTTTCATTAAATCGACGACGTTTAAGGGTAATTTATGGTAAAGAACAATTATATACAAAGAATTCATTAAAATATATTGGATTATACGCCGAAAGAGATTCGAATTTTGAGAATATAGTTGTATTTATTCGTTTAGATTGTTTAGATCTTAATAATAAGAAGCAAACTGTCTACGAATTATCAACAACTATATTAAAATATCAAAGTTAGTATATCTTCTCTCTTTTAAGACATTTTCCTCTCTATTTTTCATATATAGTCTTAATTGTTAATGAACCTTTCACCGCTGGTTTTATTGGTTATGTTGATGTTAATGAAGGTCAAGTTGTTGACATGATTTTTCATAGAATTAAAGGTTACGGTCGTTGCGAGTAAGATATTTCTAATAGAATTTATCATATATCTTTTGAAATTTTTCTTAAAAAAGAATGAACAGTCCTTCCATTCCGGATGTAGAAATTGTTGGACCTACTAAATTCGATATGCAGGAGACGAATTTTCAATATTTTCAATTTGAAGCTTTGTACAACAATGCAGATAAAAACGATAGAAAATGTACAATTGAAATTCAATGTCAAGATTTACATTCTACGGATACAACTAGCCTATCGTTAAATGTCTTAATTAGAAATTCAGACATTCAAGCTACGGGAGATCCTCATATTAAGCAAAGAGTTTTCGATCAGAGGGAAAAGGCATTGAAAATGATTTGTTATGATGTTTACGGTCAAGCTGGTGACGTTATACTTCTAATAAGAGAATTAACTGAAGAGAATTTGTCAGTTTATGGTAAATTAATGGACGATTGCTATATGCATATAGTTAAATTAACATCAACCTCTGGGAATATTACTCTAACAACTGATCAAATTATATTTCCTGATCATCATATACTTAAATGGGACGACTTTCTACAAGAGCAAACCTTATATAAAGGAAACTATTGCGTTATCTTGAAAAAGGATTTGATGAATATTTCAAAAATTCAAGACAACTTCTTCCATCAATCGTTTAAGATTATTATTAAAAGATCGCATAGACCAACTACAGGGTATTTCTTGGACGTAGCAATTAAGGGTATTAACGAACAATATATTGGAATTGATGGATTATTAGGAAGAATTGGTAAGAATAATTTCAAATTTTACGAATCTGTTCAAGAGGAAAGAGATTTACATGGGAATTTAAGAGTATCAATTGAAGTAAATGGTCGTATTGGTACAGCCAGAATAGATAACCGAGGAGGAACTGATTGTTGGTTGTTAAACGTTAAAGATGCTCTTTATCCATCATCTTTAAATGATTACGTTTTTTCCTATTCCCATTCCCATTTATTCTGAATAAAGGAAAAGAGTTTGTTTATTTGTTTATTGTTTACAAACTTCAATATTCTAAATAAGTTTTCCTTTCTTTAGATTAATTTCGTTCAAATAAACAATAAACAATAAATTAATTATAGAGTTAAATGTAAATGCTGCTCTTTTTATTCCTTTTTTAAATATCATTCAATCATAGCAAAAAGAAGAATTTCAAAAAAAAGGGGAAAAAAAAACAAAGAAAGATAGCCTTGATTTCTTTTTCTTATCATTTCCTTTTTATCAATTTTAGACGATTGAAAGTCTTCCTTAGAGATAATTTGAATTTTGTCCATCTATTAATTTTGACTGTCTTAATAATCGATTGTAAGCTCGTCTTTACTCTTAATCTAAGCTTTTTCTGATAGAGTTCCTTCAATAGAACAATCGATTCTGTATAGTTCAAAACTCTTTTGGATTGATCAATAAAGCCGATAAAGCTCAAGTGTAACTCTTGAATATTTTTGTCCGATAACTAAAACATGAAGATTAAAAGAGATTAATAACACGAAAAAAAAAGAAGAAAGAAGATACTCTACCTCTTCCCAATCGAGTGTACTAAATAATTCAGTTAATAGAGGAATACTCTCAAGTATATCACTACTTTTTTGACACTTCGAGAATATTTTCATTGCTATTCCATATTTTTCTTGAGTCTTTATAGAAAGAAACAAATAAAACAATTTCAATTAATCAGAATAATATTAATTGAATTAATTGAATTACCGTCTGAAAGAAATTTGAATAAACATGAAGTAACTTTAAATGTAAAACATTTATGTTTTCTTCATTGACACAATGATTGAAAGCTGTTAAACAGCTATCAAATATCTTTTTCTTTTTTCTCCAATCAGAGCATAAATCCTTAAATCTTAGAAAAAGGGAACAATAGATATGAAAGCCAACAACAAAATTTAACAGCTCAAAACTTCCTAAAGATGAATTTAAGCTATTTTTTGCCGTAACAATATAATCTATAAGAATATCTAGTATTTGGTTCTTTTCAAAATCCGATAGTATTGTCATTTCGTAGTCGTGATTGCTTATTGCAAGACAATTCTTAAAGTAAATTGACATTAGATCTTCCGTAAATTCCTTTTTGGCAGTTAGAGAATATTTCAGAAAGTTTCGAAATGTTTCCATAGTCAACTCGGTGATAACTAAAGGAAATGATCCGTACGGATAATTCTGTCGAATCTCATTTAAGTCTATAGAGCCTTGTTCTGAATAGTTCAAACCAAGATATTTTAGTTTGGAATGATTCTTTAAGAAAATTGGAATTAGTTCGGGGCTTAATCGCCAACAGCCAAACATATGCAAATGTTGTAAATTTGGCCATTGAGCAGATACGATAAATTCAGAAATTTTCTCTTCTTCATTTCGTCTTTCCATCATTTGGGACAAATCTAACCATTCTAATTTTTTTAACTGGTGTAAGGACGAATAGGTCAAATATAGAGCTCTATCTTGACAATATGAACAATTGAGTGCCTTCAAATTTTTTAGCTTTTCAAGGGGCGTTAAATCATCAACTAATGTACTGGAAATATTCAATTCTTCCAAATCTGGCAATTCTTTGCAGATATAATTGAGATATTGATAATCAAAATTTGTAAAACTAACGTTAAGTACCGTTAGACATTTCATTGACCTCAAATCGAATTCATCATAGAGATTAACGCTGGAATTATTTCCATTTCCTAGACGAAATACGCACTGCTTTAAAGATAATTCTCTTAGATTACTTCCATTAACTAGATGGAACCAATCTTTAATTCCCATGTGTCTAATATTCTCTATGGAAATTGTTTCTATATAACTACATTTCAGAAAAGACAGATAAGACTTGTCAGACAAACGATGTCCATCCATCTTGACATTTTTCAAAATAGCTTTCTTTCCAAGAAAACACTTTATATAATTTTCGGGAATTCCAAATTCCTCTTCGTCAAGTCGACTCAATAATTCTTCAGCAATTCTATACGGGATTATGTAACCATTCTTTGGTGAATTCTGAAAAAATGACTCCCTTTCCTTTACAATCTTTTGAAGGGCTAACTCTTTCAAACTAAACATGTTCATAACGATTAAATTTTCGTTCTTTACAATCTGAAAAGAATGCAAAATTCAATTTATTTATCTCTATGAACAGAATAGATTTTAAGCAAATCACATTTTCAATGTCTATACAATTGAAACTTATGCAAAACTGGCGAAAAGAATTGTCACTAATTCAAAGCTATTCCCATGCTCCTCCTTAGCGGAGATTTGCCCAGACTGACGTTTCGTCTAGAAACTGGTATCAAAACTTTTTATCTTTTTTAATGCCATCTATTGGTGGAAAGTACTCGCTCTTTTGTTCTACAATGTCCAATAAAAAATAAGTTTTACATACTTTATTAAATAATTAAACTTAAACGATTCTTTCGACTAATAAAAAAACCTAATTTAGTCCTTTAAAATATAGTTAAGTAGCTAAAAACCGCAAAGAAAAATTTTAATTGACCGTTAATTGTTTTTTAGACAATAAGTCAGTTGTTTTAAAATTTTTGGCGCCAATTTCGGTAGCCATATTGTTTATACTCGTGTTAAAAAAAATTCAATTTCAGAAATGTTACTTCTTTGTCTATCATTGCCCTCATCTGTATAAGCTACATTTTAAAGGTTGTTCATTAAACTAGCACCTATACCTATAGGAAAATATTGAAATTATCTATATGATTTATGTATTAAATGTTTTTACAGAAAAAATATGGCAACGATTTTAAAGACGTTAGCTTATGAGGAAATAGCCAAAGATCCATTGGCGCTTTTACTTAAAAGTTATAAAACATCAATTAAACTACCAATTAAAATATCAGAAGAATTATTACATTATATTAATGAACGTGATCTAGGTATAACGGAAAATCATTTGAGAATATTCAAAATAATTGATTGCCAATTCACAAGGATAATCTTACAAGGAAACAAATTAATTGATTACAATTGCTTTGAATTATTTCAAGGAAAACATATTGAAAGTTTAGAAATAGATAATTTAGCTTGTAGTAATTTCAAGTGGCTTGAATATATCGAATCGAATCATTTAAAAGCTCTGAAGATAAGTCGAGGAAAAGTTGCCTTAGCAACAATGTATAACGATACTTTTCTTAGTAGACACATTGTACACTTAAAAAATATCGTTGATTTGAATGTATCTTGGTGTTATATAACAAATGAAAGTCTTAATGATTTTGCATTGAATTTAATCAATCTTGAAACGTTGAACTTATCGTTTAATAATGTAAACAATTTTGCGCCTCTATCCAAATTGAAAAAACTACATACCTTGGACTGTTCAATGAAGATTAGCTTCTGGTCATGTGATACTTTCTCGTCTCTCTTAACCTTAGAGAACATTAAAAAGATGATTGTTTCCACTGAAGTATCCGGATCGCATGATTTAGAATTGGATGATTTCTTGAATCATGCTAAATACTCCCAAATAAAGTCTTTAGATATACATGGTTATTTTATTAAAGATGAAGGGAACTTAGTGTAACGTATCTTATTTCTCCTTTTTCGATACAACATTAACTTAGCTGTTTTCATAAGCAGGACTTTTATTAAAAATCACCAAACTTTGGAATTTTTAAGAGTAATGTTGTCTCCATCGAAGGAAGAGAATTTCAAGAAACACTTAAATAGTGAAAATTTGATTATTGTTAGATTTATGATATATTTGTATCATTTCTAATCTATATATTCAACATAGAACTATGGTTTTCTATCGGAATCAGAAATTGTTACTTGGCTACAAAATCATAGTAGTCAAGTAAGAGAAGCATCCAATTTTATCCATCAATCAATAAGAAAGTGCTTACAGCGAGATAGTCTATCAAAAGACAATACATTATCGGATCAAATATCTGTATGATTATTTCGTATCTATAATATGATTTTCAACTTATTATTTCCATTTCTTTAGATTCTATTAAACTTATTTGATTATTATAAATGGTTCGACATTAACTGTGAAGATGAGATTTATCATTTGAGTTCTATGGGATGGCTATGCCTGAAAAAGATAAGTTGTTTATTAAAGAATAGTACGAAAACTGGTGAATTTTTATCGAATGGCGTGAAATTAAGGTTATTCTTTACATTTTATAAATTTTTTGCGAAATTAATTGAGAATGACTGCAAATCCGAGATAATTTCACATGATTCTTTTGAAATATGGGGAAGTTCTTTAACTAAATGTTTACTCTACTGTTCAGAATATCTTTCACACGTTTGTTACTAATTTAAATATTATAAATGTATAAATTAAAAATATTTATTAATGATGCAGATTCACAACAAACATATCTTTGCGCGAAATTTGATTATTCATTACTTTCATTATGCAGAATGTATTGAATCATTCTGTCAGCTTTTAAAGCTTGTTTTTGAAAAGATAGAAGTATCAAAGGTTTTTAAATATATAGTATATACAGTATGAATATCTCACTTACAAAATACTTTTCTTTATCCGACAGTTATCATTCACAGAAATCAAAGTACTAAATGATTGCCTTACTAAGAATTTGAAAGAAGAAGATCTGTCGAATCATACTGATAAACGAATTATTAATGAAACTGCTACATTTTGTAAAATACATTTAAATTCATTTTCTTAAAAGTAATTTCTATAAATATAATAAATAATTAGCACCTAAAAATTATGAATTTGCCATTTTCCACTATGAGAAAAATTTACGAAAATCTGTAAAAAGTTTCTTTAAAGTTTGAAATTTTCTCTTTGGTAGTTTTACATCTTCACAAGGCATCACAGTAAGTTTTTTCTGTCTTTTTAATTCAATTTCCGATTTAAAATATTTTAGAAATAGATAAATAAGGCAACTGTCTTCAGTGTTATCATTTGATCTATGAATTCTGTTGAGTCTACGATTTCTTATTTCAAAGCTTTCGGCAAATTGTGTTTTCAATTTCATTAACACTTCTAAAGAGAACTGAAATAAGATTTTCGATTAAATACATGATACTCTTCAATTCAGTTGGGAGAAAGAGAAGAGACAGATTAATTTTACCTTGCTTATATCGATACAGTTAAATAGTAGAACACTTAAAAACTTGATTATTTGTAAATGGGCTGTATAGCTATGGGTTTTAAGAGCGACTAGACAATCTTCAGCTTCTATTGCAGTCATCTGAAAAAGTATAGGATAATTATTAGAACAACGAAACTGGTATAAGAAAATGTAAATTACCATTCGAAAAGGTGAAATATATTTATCAAATATATCGAATGTTTGATCATCTTTTGCAGAACAACTAAGCTCAAGTAGAATTACATCGCATGTCATTCTTATAAGCCTATTTTTAAGCTTAACGCTATGACAGTAGCTTTTATATTGATTAAAGGTAAATAAGAGCCTGTAAAAATGTAAATATCCGATCCTTTGACGAGTGGAATGTTTGTCTCTGTTCATCATTTCAACGAGAATCTTTTTATGAATAAAAAACAAAAGAATACTTAAAATACATTAAAATTTAAGAATTATTTGACAAACTTCGAAATATTTCTCTCTTTCCCAACAATTTAATGTTAAAAATCTTTCATCGTTACTATAATGTAGAAAGCAGCTTCCGTATAATAGATTCTCATTCAAAAGGATATAATTTTTAACCTCTTCCTCTTTCATAATTGCAAACATCTTTTTAAAATTATGCATTGTTAATCCGTAGTAATTCTTTAAAATGATGAAAATATAGATTAGTTATATATACATTCATAGTAACATATTGAAAAATTCTTACATTAACTATAATTAAATTCTTTGATAACATTGATAATTTCTCTTCAAGGTTTGTTTCGTCTCGATAAGGATAGTATGGAGACGAACGTTCAATATTAACAACTAGAAATTGTAATTTAGGATGTCTATGTACAAAATCACTGTAAAAGGTAGAAATTAATAAAAGTTATAATAATAATTATTATCAATTTATGTATTTCCTTACCAGATTTCATTTATGTAATTGACTTTATTTAAAGGCAAGTAATTGAAGTATTGCAAATTTGGCCATGAAATAGATTTCAAGAAATTCTCCACTTTGGAATCGAGTCTCTTTGCTCGTTCATTTACATTTATTTCAAAATATTCTAACAATTCAAGATTTCCAAATGAACAGATTGAATTATTTATATGAGAATGACTTATGTTACTAAGTCTAAAGCGTTTAAGTTTAGTAAGTCTTTTAATAGGATAAATATTTTCATTAAAACATTCAAAATCCAATTCTTCTAGATTTTTCAATTCAATACATAAATTCTCTAGAAAGTAATGATTTGAATCGTGATAACACACTTTCAATACTTGAAGATTTTGAAATATTTTCCATTCAATTTTTGGAAATATATCACCAGTTTTCAAATTTACTTTAGAGCCTTCCAATTCTGATAGAGAGAGTTTTTTCAAATGTTCACTTTTGATTAAAGAGAGTATATAGCTTAAATTATGATATTTTAAATCGTTTATTATACATGTTTCTAGATTAGGATTGCTTAAAAATGATAAATTTGAATCATTTTTAATACGATGTCCATTTATTTGTATATTCTTTGCATTTCTCAGATGAGAATTTAGATAAAATGGTCTAATTCCAACTTCTTTATCGTTTATAAGAATAATAAGTTCATCAATAATTGGTGATGGCAAATCTATAACCCGATTTCCTTCTTTGAAAATTGTATGTCGGTTGAAAACAACCTTCTGATAGCATAATTCCTTTAGCGTTTCTATACAATCTGTTGACGAAGCCCTAGAAAGCGATGAATCCATGAACGATTTGTTTGTTTCAATGGAGTTAGCTGGTTAGCTGAGCCTCAATATCTTACATTTACAAAAATGCTGCCAATAATTTATTATTTAATGACTCTCGAGAATATTTCTTGGTAGAATCTAATTTATAGATGTAAACTCATTAAATAATATATTCGAATGTTGCAAAGAATTTTTCTCGAATAGATGAAAACATATTGTACATGTCATTCTTTTCGTAGTACATTCGAGTTTATTTTTATATTGTTATTATATTGCTTCTTGAGATTTTATTAAATTTAACAGAGTTTGAGAATTTTTCCAATTGTATATTTATTAAAAATAAAAGATAAACTAGGAATTGTATTATTTTTTTTTGCAATAGAGAAAACTGGTAAAGGGTAACATCTTCTTTTTGTATATAAAGCAAGTATTAAATGTAATTAATGAAGAAATCATTAACAAACTATTAGTTTACTAAGAAAAAACTTGTTTAAATGTGGCTCTTAACCTTTCAACTAAAGTTTTCTTCTCTCTTTCCGATTTAACGTTACGTTGTCTCTGAGTAAGTTCTTTTTCAATTTCCGTACGAATAAAGCTTTCGAATGGTAGCTTATATGCATTAAGAATGTTGTCTCGATCAACAAAGTTCAAGTAAGTAATATATTCGAAGGAGGACTTTTTGAATAATATTAATTCATCTATTGAAAACTATTTAAAAACGATTTTAGTAGAAATAGAATAAAGAAACCATAAATAAACATACTTCCTCCAATGATAGACTTTGAATAGCTAGTTTTAAATATCGGATACCATACATCATATCTATCTGATTGTATTTACGAAATATAGATAGGCAAACATTCCATTTTTTCCTATGCTATATTTTTAAACTAGAAAAATTAGCTTTAATTTCTATTTAATAAACTTAACTTACAGTTTTAAAGAATTTAAAATGATTTATAAGTGTTTCAAGTAAAATTTCATTCGTAGAAGCAATATTAGAATCAAGTAGAAAACCGCTTAGACAAACTCTAAAGACCATATCAGTAAGTCTAAAATTGTAATAAATACTAGAAAGTTCTATAAAATGTTTCAAAGCTATGTAAAAATATCTTCGAAATTCTTCATCGGCAAAGTTTAGTTTTGAACTTCTTTCATGTATAACGTCAACAATAATCTTTCAGAAAATTTTATTGAAATGTATACTTTTCTATTATTCCTTAATGAAATATATTTACCTCAGCGTATTTATACCTTTCCCATTGATTTAGTGAAAAAAGATCTCTTTCTCTCAATGGTGGAAGAGCGTATTTTATATCGTTTCCATCAAAGTTCTTTAGCATCTTTTTAAGTTTCTCTGTACTTAATTCCTCATTATCCTGGAAAAAAACAATAGATTAATGATAATTCTGTTGATTGAATTATTAACTATTTAGTTATTTACCTGTTTTATTACTAATTGAGGAGCTAGGGCTGAAATAATGTTGTCTAGGTTTAATGGAACTGGTCTAAAGCAGTTGAAGGCAAAAAATCTTAATTTAGGATGTCTTGATGAAAATTGACTTGAAAAGAGAACACCTAATCACTTATCACATAGTCTTTACACAGAGACAAACACTTACGATATAAATTCTATAACGCAATCTGTTTGAATACAGACAGACTGAAAGTATTTCAAGTTTGGCCATGTGACAGTATTTAAAAAGCTATCCTGTTGACATGTATTACCAATAGAAAACGGAATCATAATACGTTCTAAAAGCTTTAAATTACGAATACAGAATATTGTTTGAAAATTCTGATCGAAATTGCTATCTTTAATTTGAATAGATTTAAGTTTGACAAACTTTTCCAAAAGATTAAAATTACCATTGAAATTACCGAGACTTAATTCTTCTAAATTCTTTAATTCGTTAGATAGAATTAATAACAAATTAGAATATCCGGAAAGAGAATCTATTTTTAGTATTAACAAATTCTTAAATGCTTTCCAATTAATGTTAATCTCATTCAAGTCTATTGGGAATTCTTCATTGAATATTCCAAAATTTACTAGAACCAATTCTTTCAAGTTTGAACTCTTAATTAATGATAAGATATTGTGAAATCGATGAAATCTTAAACATTCCATATCTAGAGTTTCTAAATCAGGATTGTTCAAAAATAATAAATCTGATTCGTATCTAATACGATATCCATTTATCTTGACTTTTCTAAAGATTACCTTATTTTTAATAAAGAAATTTATATAAAATGGATTTATTCCAATTTCTTCCCTATTTAGATAGAATATAAGATCATCCACAATAGCGGGAGGTACTTTTAATAACATGCTATCTTCATGAAAGAAGTCATCACGATTTTCAACGATAACTTGAAAGGATAATTCTTTTAGCGTATACATCCAATTAGTTTCAAATGTTTGTTTTACTATTATATGATATCAACTTGTAAAGCGAGATATTTGATAATATTTATTAGACGTTTCCAATACAAACTATACAAACATTACAAGAAGTCTTCTCATCGAGAGCGCAAAATTTACTTTATTTACGAAAATAAACTGGTAATAATCGAAAAAGCGCCCCCTACTTATTCTTTATTTAAGAATTATCCTATTAAATGAGAGAGTAATCATAGATAATTATTAACTGCATAACCAACAATAATTTATATAGTGAAAGTAATTGTAGAACAAAAGAACTTTTTGCGTGAATCCATTAAATGAATAATAAACGATTTTTTATTGAAGATACCACGGACGAACGTAGTTGAAATAACTATGTAAGAGAGAACAAGCCCATTTAAAGTATTAGTTAAAGCATTATTTATTCAATTAGAGGCAAACGAATAAGATAATATGGACAACATTGACAAATACAGTTATCATTTATTTAATTGTATAAAGAAAGAATCTTTAAGCTCAAGTAAGGCTTTTGTTATATTTCTTGATTTTCTTTCGTCAATTTCCTCAATAAAATTACCGTTAAATAATTTTTCAATATCATTTTTCACATCAAGAATATCATGATCACCAACTTCTTTCCATAATTGGTCGATATTACTCAAGAACTTTAAAAAGTATTCTTCCATCGTAATAACCTCCTTATCGGATATCTTGTTTTATTTAATTTGAAAAAGTTTAGTTATAAACATGTTTTATAATCAATATAATACCTTTTCAATTTGTATATTTGATAAGAGTTGATTAAGAAGAAAATGACTATCTGATATATCTTCGATACTTCTACATCTCTCAAATGTCTTTATTAAGAGTTCATACCTTTTATAATTCTAGAATATTAAAAATATTTAATAAACGCTTATCAAGAAATTCTATCAACCTCGTTCATTGTCTCATAATTCATCCGAAGCATGAGCCTATTAGTTCTATTTAGTACTTCATTATCCAAAGATTGCGTAAAGACTGTGAAACAAATATTAAACAATTTTCTCCTTATCTTTAGACTTAAATTTCCTGTGTCCAGACTTTGAATTAGAGCACAAGTACGATTATATATTTTTATAGAATCTTGGGTAATATTTTCTTGTAGGTTTAGAAATAAGTATTTTTCCTCATCTAATATTAAAATAAGGATCTAAAAAGGAGGAATAACACCAAAAAAAATGACATTTTATATAGTGTTTTTTTAAGCAAAGAATGTTTACGTCTATAAGTTGATTCTTTTCAAAATCATCCATTGAATTAGCATTATGAGACATTTCGTGCAATTTCGATAGCCAACATGGTATAAATTCAAATAAGATGTTAATTTTCACTCTTTTATCATACTCAAGGAGCTTTTTAAGATTTTCGTGAGAAAAAAATGGAATCTGAAGATATTGAAATAGTAAAATATAATCTCGGAATTGATTGTAATCGTCTTACGATTATAATAGAGGTCGCTTTTGGATGATTTGTTGTAACCTCTTGCCAATTAATTCCCGTATTTTCTGTATTAACCAAACCAAGAAATTCAAGGTTTAAGTGTCTCCCTAGAAACTTTCTAAAATAGAGAAAAATAACAAAGTAGTTTATTATGCTAGACAAGAATAAAAAACTAAATGAACTTTAATAGTTTGCCATCTATTTTCCAACGGCCAGACGTATTAAAATGGAGAAGTTGAGGCCAGTTGGCTTTGTCAAAGAACTCTCTCCAAACATCAGATTGATTGTTATTTACATCGTTTTGCGACACATTCAAGTAAATTAATGACTTTAATGCGTATAAGAAGGAGTAGGTAAGTATTATACGTGATTTTGTTACATATGAAATATCTAATGAAGTTATTTGAGTAAGATTCTTTATAGATTCCAGACTATCAACATTTGTCTTTGAAATGTTTAATTCTTCAAGTAGATGAAGTTCTCTTGAAGTTAATTTTAAATAATAGTTGTCAAAATTGGTTGAACTAACATCCAATACTTTAATATTTCTTAAAGGTTTCAATACTATATGACTTTTTAAATTAGACAGTGAAAACTTTCTTTCTCTCGTCTTAAATAGACAACGTTTAAAGGATATCTTTTCCAATTTATCTCCATTAATTTCTCGAATCCAGGTATTTACTTTTATTGATCTCATTTGTTCAATAGAAATCGTCTCCAAATGTGGATTTTTTAAAAAATATAGACTCGATAAATGCTTTATTCGATTACCATGAATAGAAATATTTTTCAACGATGCTTTCTTATTGAAAAAGTCCAAATGGCTTTCTGAAATTCCGCATTCTTCTTCGTCCAAACATTTCATTAATTTGTCAGCTATCCCAAAAGGTAAGCTAACATTTTTAGCTTCCTTCCAGCTTGTTTGTGCAAAAAGGGTCTTATCTGTCACGATCGCTTGAATCGTCAACTCTTTTAGACTAAGCATTATTATTTTTTCAATAGAAATAACTTAATATTCTCTGAAGGATTTAAGGAAGAGCTTTTTGTCTCGTACTGATGTATTGCATTAAATACTTACTTTTGACTGTGCTCTATATTAAATCGTATTTTTTATATTAGCCGCTCTTTCGTTGTCTCCGTTTGTTTTGTCTCTGCCTCTACTTCTATATCTGCTTCTCTCTCTTTCATTTAAATGCATGCGTACATCCATGCGCAGTCTCTCGATTTAGTTTTCTTTTTCTCTTCCTCTCTCTCTGTCTCTCTCTCTCTCTCTCTCTCACTCTATATGTCTATCTCACTTTTTAAACTACAAATACATAGAAAATTAATAAAAAAAACAACGCCATCTATTGAAATTTTACTGTATCAACCAACACATAATAATAAATAACCCATACAAATTTTGTAAGTAATGTACCATAACTGTGGCTTCATTAAAAGTAAGGTCACCAAAGTGCACAATAAATATAGAAGCAATTCAATTTAAACAATCACAACAAAATTTGCATTAACTTGTTGGTCCTTTTCCCAAAACAAGACCTGAAGAAAATTAAAAATGTCCAAGAAATCCTATAAAATAGAGGAAGTTCGTATTTAGTTGTATAATTTAGACTTCTTTTCATCCAATTAATTCTCGCCAAGCTGTTTTTTTTTTAAAGATGTTTTATAAGTACAATATTTATTGTGTACTCTATTGCTAGAATATACAGTTGAACTCTTCGTATCCCTTTTCTGGAACATATTCGGAGTTTTACAACTGATATTCTAGAATTAGCGTCTTACAGACTTAAAATAATACTATAAAATAAAACATTATATAAGTAATTACTTATCTCTTCCTTTCTTTCTTTCTTTCTTTCTTTTTTTCCTTCCTCATTTTAAGCTTTACTCCAAACAGCTGAACACGTATAAATCATTAATACTTTTAATTTAATATCTATAGTTAATACAGATTTCATAGTATTGCATATATAAAAATTGTACTTTCTCAAAAGAGTACAAAACAAATCTAAATCTTTCGTTATCTGTCTAATTTAGAGTTTTAAATAAAATATAAAAGAGTAATCGCATTAACTGATTTTTTATGTTCTGATACGTTTAACATAAAAAACAAGGTAATACTAATATTTTTAATATTTTCCATTTAAAACCAGTTAAAAGCCAATCCATTACTTTATAAATTTTTACAAAAGTATATCCAGTGGAGAAGATCCTATTTCAATTTTTCGTATAAATTTGCCGAAGATTTCTTTTTATCGTATAAAAGAAGTTAACCAAATATGCGATTGCACCTGCAATGTTATTTAGAGCTTTTTAATGTTGTTTGATGTCTTCATATATTAATTTCTTAATTGAGGAAAATTGTATATTCTCTACTATTAGTTATCTTCGTTTATATTATTTACTTGGAGTTATCTTTTCATTGACTGTATTTGCTGTCATTTCTGATATGTTATATTTTGTTTTTGAGACAATCCGTGTAAGAAAGAAATAATTGATTATTTCTTGGTAAAAAGGAAAAAAAGAAAGGATGAGCGTTTAGTCAGAAGAGGGAAAGCATCCGTACATGTGAGCTCTAAAGAAGTCACGCTTACAAGGATTATTTGACATCTTATAAAAAGAAATTTTTTACTTGATATTCTAGTTATATTAATATTTTTTCCATTGTTCTGTCATACGTAGGGGGAATATATTACTATTCTCCAAATAAATCTTCTTTAATTTAATGATTATAAGAAGACAAAAAGTATTTTTTTTAGTATACACAACTAATATTGCAGATTTCTAATGCAGATAGAATTACATTCATCTACAAATGCCACAGTGTATAATTGCCATCGAAAACTGGAAAATATATAATCAAAGTCTATAGCTATTCTCTCTATATAAAATGCGTAAGAAGAAAACAAAAGATTTCCATGATTATTCCCTAAGATTATAGAAAATTCCGGTAATAGATAACTGCAAGCTATTTTTTTCGAAGAATAATAAGGACTATCTCTTCATGGCAGGTAGATACAATCCTTTTGACTTATGGAAAAAGTATGTCATTAGCAAATAAGGATTTAATGAAAAAGGTTGCGAAAAAAAAAAGAAAAAAAATCAGCTTTAAAAGGTTGAAGAAAGCTAACAATCTTTTATAATTTGGTCCAAATATTCTACCTTTAGATAGATAGAAGTTACAATTAACTTTTTATTTTGCTTTTTTAATGGAATCCGTCTTATTTAGGCTGTTTTATATCAATTTTCTTTAATCAAATACAAACTCTATCTTAAAAGATTATATTTAAAATATTTTGTCATGTTTTGAGTATAGAATGCGACCAATATTCTATTCTGTTTCATTGGGACAGGCAATCCTTTATTCGTGTACTGTTCATATAACATTCAATAGAGTTTTACATTGTAAATGCTCGATTCTTATTCTTTTCAATTTACTTGTAAGAACTACATGAAAAACATTCTATAATAATCGTGCCGAAATGAAATCCTACTAGGTTCAATGAACGAACAAACAACTCTCTACTCACCAAAAAACGTATTAAGAGCTCAGTAAAAACTAGTTAAGACGGTCACTTTTTTGCGTTTAATAAGAAAGAAGACTTTAAAGACATTAATAACACTTAAGTGATTCACGATTCCATCTTAACATTATAATCAGTATTTCTGTAATTGGTATATTAAAATAAATTATGAAGATAAATCGATATTTGTTAGTTGCCATCTTCGCCGTAAATGTATTATTTGATACTGTTAAAACCAAATCAATTATCTTAAGAATCACCAAAGTAGTTTTCTCCTGTACAGTTGGCCAAAGACAAAGAGTTGCTTTATAAATCACGAAGTTGATGAGCAAATTTATAACGATTTTACAAAAGATCTTACAGAAGGCCATCCTATTAATTTATATACTGCATAGATATTCATATGGAAATAATAGAACTTAAGTAATAAATAAATTGAAATTATATTTGCCTATAAACTGATGAAAATGAAAAAAAACAATACATTAGTTGTTATTAATGAATTAATTAATTTGTTAATTAAATTAATTAAATAATTTCAATAATCTATTAAAATACTCTATAAAGGATAATAAATCTCTAAATAAAATTGTTCTCCTTGAATAGAAACTCCTTTAAATGTGAAGGATAAATAGCATCTTTTATATTTAATAACCAACAATTAACTTTTTCTCTTTTTATTATTATTCCAGTAGTTAACTTTCCATTTATTTCTATTGATCCTCGTTGATTAGATTTTAAATTTTTGGAATTTTGAATAGGTTTATTGAACTTGAAATTACTCTTACCAACTCTACCGAGGATTCCGTCGATTTTATTATAATTTTCGTTCATTTGTCTATCAATATATACATTTAAAGCGTATTCTAAATGATTTGATCTTTGAATCGTAATCGTTAAGAATCCTATGCGGAATATATTATTTGGTATTCTAATTTCAATAATGTTTTTCCTTTGAATTATAATCAATTTGTCAACGAACGATACAATCTTCTTGTCACTATCAATCCAACCAAGAGTTTTACCACTTGGTAATATAGTATTGTGAACATTTGACGTTATATTACCAAACTTTGTTACAACTTTTACAACGTGCATATAATAATCATCTTTAAGCTGGCCGTAGATAAATATTTTTTGATAATTTGTAACTTGACCATAAAGGTAGATTATATCATTTGGCTTTCCAAACATATCATAACAAATTGCTTTTTTATCGTGTTCAGTCTCATCTAGAACAGTTTGTATAAAGTGCGGATCTCCGTATGATTGCATATCTGAATCTCTAATAATAAGGGAAAATATGTGGTTGATATATGGAACAGTTGAACTTTCTCTGCATCGTATATTTATGTCTAGAGTTTCATCTATTTCCACAATTTTATCATTTAATGCCTCGAAATCCAAATATATTTCAGGATCATCGTAACCTATGGCAAAATGAGACGGATTACGTAAAACAAGCTGGAATGGACGGGATATGATAGCTCTATTAGGAATAAAGTAAGTATCGTAAAAAGAAAATCTAGTTATTAAGAGTATTTTATGATTTACTGGCAAAAGACTTTTTTCCCAACGTTTTCCCAATCTTGCCAACGTATTCGAACCGTGAAACTCTCTCCTTCTCTTACATCGGTAGTCGTATGAATTTCTAACCTACCTGGCTCTAGTTCTTCTGTTACTATAGTCAATTAATTGTTAGCTCTACTGATTTTATCTAAAAAAGAAGGATAATAAAAATAATCCAAACCGTCAGCGTCTATAATTGTTAAAGATACGTAAGAGTTTGTTTTTTCATTTGTATTGCTATCTGTACAGTGAAAATTTAGAAAAACCATTTGATTTTCATCTACTTGATTATTTTTCTTTGCTTCGAATAAAACGCCTATTTCTATCAGATTATTGTCGAATATTAAAGATTTCCCTTGTATAATCTCCAATCGTTGAGGATATGAAGATGTAACGGAGCAGTATCCACTTCCTTGAGCATAAGTCTCAACATGCCCTATCTTACCTTCCTTTATATAATTAAAAGCTATAATGTGCAAGGCAAATGGAATAATTGTCGAGTCTTTTATGACAATGCCAACAACGTGATCAATATACGTCCCACCAAGAACGTTACGGCATCTAACTGTGATTGTAACAAGTTCATTTCCTTCCGCTTTTCCATCGCTTATAACGTTAAAGTTTAATGTTTTCTTAAAAGCTTGATCCGTCATAGAAAAATACGTATTATCTTTCAATGTTAAATCGGAAGTGGAGGAAACAAAAGCCCTTTTTTTTAAATAAATAAATGAATATATTTGGTACATTAGTTTGATATTGAAGAAGTTAATTAACCGGCATTGAGAATCCCCTTGTACACGAAATACTGATATTTCGAATGGACTTCCCTCTTCAACAGTAGTTGTTGCAACCATTTCGATTTTTCCAGGTAGAAGTTTATTGACTTTAAAAAGTAGACATATTGTAAAGGAAACATAGATTATTTATGCTTACTTTCGTTATCTAAAATCGTCATTGATATAGAATAAGTACTACTTTCAGCAGTTTCTTTATCAACGCAAACAAAAAATATTGTTACGAGTTCTTCTCCGTCTAGGATGCTATTGTCTACTCCTTCCAAAATGACATTTACTGATTTATTAGGTACAAATTCTATTGTTGCTCCCATGTAAATTTGTAGACGTTGAGGATTAGACGAGTGAATACTAAAACGCAATATATAGTTCAGAATCTAAATTTATAATAATCAACTGTTGGTAGTTTCTTACTTGCACGTAGCGCTTCCTTGTACTGATGAGGCTACCATAACCTCCCTAACATTTTCGTACATTTGATTAAATGACTCCAAACGTAGAAGGAAAGAGGCATGAGATACGTCTATTGTTTAAAGTAGTTTAACTTAATTATTTGACCTAGAAACTATATGAGAGAGAGAGAGAGAGAGATATTTACGAATAGACGAATAAACAATAACGATAATATCGAAGAGTAAATTCTTTCCAAGTAGCATGTTAAAGAGTCCTAAAGACTTTAAATATCAATATAAAATATTTAAATTTCTTTTCAAAGGACTTATCCTATCTTCTAATCACTATTGGTTACAAAATAAGACACTGTACTTTCACCTTCAATAACCTCTTTCTAAAATGTAGAGGGATAAAATATTATTTATGGTAGATAAGTACTCAACAAAAACATTAACTCCTAGCCATATTTCTTTCTAGTCACGTGTCACTTTCAATTGTTTTTTTTTTTAAATAAATGCACTAGGAACGATTAAATCATTTACTATTTGAACTTGAGGCAAAGACTAATCAGTTATTGATTTATTATTATTATTATTAGAGTTGTTGTTGTTTTATTTCTTTTTCTAACATTAGTACGAAAAGAAATGAATTATGAAAATTATTTAGAATATAAAACTACTCAATGAATATGGATATAATAAATCTTTTGTGTTCAAGAGCCAACAATCGAATCCCTCTCTCTTTTCAATTCTTCCAGGTTTTAGTAAACCATTAATTTCAACGGCTACTTTTGAAGGATTAGACTCGTTATTCCAAATATTATTCGTTTTTTGTACTGGTTCGTAAAATTTGAATTTATTATTTCCAATTCTACCAATAAGTCCATCCATTCCATGATAATTTCCATTTATACCGTGAATAATAACGTCTAAATAATAGCCAGTTATCGGATGATGAGACCTTTTTAGAATGATACTCAGGAAAGGATCGTTTACTTCGTCACTTTCAACTAATATTTTAATATAATTCTTTGCGAATGTTATAAAATGTTTACCGAAAGGAAACGATTTATAAGATTCCAATTGTTCCCAATTCAAAATTCTACCATCGCTTAAATAGATCTCATCGGTAGTTGTTGATAAATTCTTACTAAGAAATGATATAGATATCTTGTGCATATAATAATCATCTTTTAATACACCCAAAACCGATATATCACCGTTAAATGTTTTTTGAAAGATATTTATAATATCGCCAGCTTTACCGGCTATATCGTAGCAAACGTATTTCTTTGATTCGGCTAATTCATCTGATACAATTTGTGTAAAATGAGGATCTCCAGTCGCTTTTATAACGTCAAAAGGATCATCTTGGCTAGTTTCTCTAATTAAAATATTTTTCTTTGAATAATCAACACGTTTCGAAATTCTATTTGTACATGTCAAACAAATATCAACTCTTCTATCACCTTTAATCCTAAAATTCTTCTTCGGCTTAAAAATAAATGTACATCGTTTATTAGCATCCAGGAAGAAATTCTTTGGACCAGTAAGTTCTCCTATTTCGTTTTCGCTTAAACTTATTCTGAAATTTATTAAATACATAAGGTCAACAAACTATTCAATTCGTAATAACTTACAAACAATCTCCTGAACCTGAATGGGGAGTGACAAAAATAGCAATATCTTCATCCTCATTAACTTCTTCCAAACTGAGTAAACCAAATTTAATAGGTTTTGTAATATTTTCACCTAAAAAAAGATATAAATTAAAATTTGATTAATTAATTAATTACTGTAATTAATTAATGATAAACATTACCATCGTTATCAATAATTGTTATTTCATGTTGATAAAAGCTTCGTCTATTTGTATTTTTATCGAGGCAGTCAATGAAAATTCTCTCAGTTTGATCATTTTCAATATTACTATTCTCAACAGCGTAAAGCATAACATAAGATATTAAATTAGCCATAAGAAACTTTTCCGAGTTACCAATTACCTCTAACCGAGATGTATTTGATGATTTTATACTGAAAGAGAATAAACGAAAAAGACAAGAAGAGATAAATATTAATAGTGTTTTTTTCAACTTAGTCTCTTTTATATTTTTATTCAAAGTTTACTTGCAATTAGCCATTCCTCTCAAAGTATATAGATATAAGGCTTCCAATCTTCCTTCGTATAAGACATTTAACAGGAAATTTTGCATAAGAAATGAAGATTTATATGGATGAGCTAAAATTAGGTCATTTTAAAGATAAAGAGAAAATATCAATAGAAGGAATAGTTTACTTACTATCGTCATCTTTTATCTTAATACGTTTTTCGAATTTAATTGGTAGACCATTGGAATCGTCAATGCAATCTAGAAAGAACGTTATTTCGTCATCGGGCTCCTTAATATCGTTATCGGTGATAATCAAAGTAAATGAAACATCAACTTGAGAAGAATTAAACACTTGTAATAAATTCCCTTTGACGCTTACAGAATTTGATAAAGAAACGTTTCGTCTAATAAGAAATAACTAATTTAATAAAATGATATTATTAAGAAAGTTTAATGCATTAATTAGCTTACGTGCAACTTCCCGTTCCGGTAAGCCTATACACAAAATATTTTACACTATTATCGCTTTCCGACAATTCACTTGGTCCATCTATATATAATCTTAGATCATCAGATACTGTCAGATCTATATAAATTTAATAACTAGTTTAGATAGATAAACCAAAAATAGGACAATTCTATTATTAATATAAACAAACCGAATAGGAATGTAATAAATATGAATAAACACAGTTTCCCAAACATATTAGTATCTATCTCATTCTACAACCTAATTCTAAACCTATCCAACCTTTTTTAACGGTAATAACAAGCAAAATCAACAAGCAGTTTTGGCTTAAATATTACGTCAATGTTCTACGTCATAAATTCAAGATTTAATACTAGACTGTTGAGTAGGTTCTATTTTTTCTTAATATTACTTAACACCTTCCTTTAAGTGGAGACTCTGTTCCCTTTTACCAGTTCTTACTTGGCATAAATCAAGGTTTATTTTTCAATTTGTTTGAATCTAATACGGAGCGATCCACTTTGAAAATTATTTGAAAGATGTAAGTTTGATTTACATTATAATTTAGTTAAATTTTACCTTTTTATCTATTGTTGTTAACAACGTAGATTAATAGGACAAATGTTTTCTTACAGACTAAATGTTTACTTTAAAAGAATTATGCTTTCAAAAGATAGCGGAAAGCCGCGATCGCCTTTTCCAACGAAGGACTGGCGTTGTTAAATTACCACCCTCTATTGTTGAACAATTACTTTGTTATTTGGATAATGAAGAGACTGGAATAAGTCCTTATTATCTTAATTTCTGTTTAAGATATAAGTTAAACATTAAGAATGTTAAGATCAATGGATTTCGGATTAGGAACGATGTAGATCTAATGTTTTTAACCAATCCCTATCTAGAATCATGCGAGATAAGGAATTTAGAATTTCATCAATTCAATAAGATATTCTCTGTAATAAATAAACAAAATCTGAAGAAATTAAGATTAACAGAAGCTTCATTCCTTAAACGAAATTTACCTGTTAATCCCCGTATTAATCCAATTAAATGGACAAAATTCAAAAATTTAATCTCACTTAAACTGGAATATAAATTTTCGGAAATTGAAATTCTTGGAAATTTATGTATTGAATTGATAAATCTGGAAGAATTAGATTTAATTTGTCCGGAAACGAATTTTTTCCCATTGAAAAATTTACTTAAACTCAAACGTCTTCGTATTAAAAATACTAAAAATTTAGTTTTACCTCATACGATTATCTGTCTTGAAAAACTAAAACTTCTTGAACATTTAGAATTGAGATTTTCTCTTGCTCTTTCCTTTCCCGATTATGATACTGAAAGGATTTTTAAAGTAGCTACTTGGCCTAATTTAATGTATTACGCTCATTTCCGAAATACATTTGCCAAATTGGACTTGATTGAGTATACTCTTTTAATTATATGTTAATAATTCAAAATTATTAATAATCTATATATTTCTATTAATAGGAATTTTATCTCGAGACATCCAAAACTAAATTATTTGGATGTTGAATGCGATAGACAATATATGCAAGATTTGGAGGATATTGCATCGAGTCATTCAACTAGTTTATTAGTTGAGAATGTAAGCTTAAAATTAATACTCCATAATTAAGTCAACTTGTTTTTCTTTATTAATTTAAGAAATATTCAACACTTTACGTTGATAAATATAAGCTAATGATTGAATATCTTGAAGTGGAGGATGTTAAGAAATTCCTTTATTCGTACTTTAGATTCTTTTCCGAAAGAGAAATTTCACTATTAGACGAATGGGAATGTATTAAATATTTTGAGGTTTATATATAGTTTAATCTATGTTTGATAATAATTATATATAATGTATATATTATACAGATAATTGTTGATATTCTTAAAGAAAACAAAGGAAGAATATACTACGATTATTCTAATTACAATGAGACGTTTGTTGATATTATCAATCATTTCTTAAGAGTTGAACACTTTTGTCGAGATATGAAGATTAAGCGTACTATCTTCAAAATATGTTACGATTCATTCTTTCATCCAGATTTATATGATTGTTGTATAATGAAAGTATTTTTAAAATACTTTCTGTTCTTTCGAACGGTAAATTTTATTAAAAATTCTTTTAATAAAATGAATAATTTCATTTATTTCATTAAAACAAACAAAGAATTTGGAAAAGTTGGAAGTTTGTAGAATGATTTTTCAAAAAAATGGAAGTGCTCAAGATTCTCACTGTGCCGAATTCTTAAGAAGGGTACTCTTTGGAATTGAACTTGAAGAAGTATTAACATAATTTTCCATTCGATAAATCATTAAATATATTATTTCATAACGTTAATTAATTAGATAATTATACAATTTTTCAGTCGGCTGGAGGGACTGTACAAAAAGAAAACTTTGCTGACGAATTTAATAATTTAAACAATATCATTCGTGAACATTGGCAAACTACAACTGAATCGAGAAAGTTAAAACATAGGCTACGAAAATTTTTCAGAAGGATTTTCAATTGATAGAAAAGATATCTAATCAAAGATAAGGGAATTAATTGTTTAATAAAACTCACTTATATATTTTTTAATAAACCAATTTTGACTATCAATTGTATTCCTTCTTTTTTACTCAGATACATATCAAGCATGTTCACTTATTGTTATAGGCTCAACAAATTAAAGACATTTTTAGACAACTAACTTTCTAACGCAAACATTTCTACAGATATCAATATGATGACTTATAAAAACAGTTAAAGGTCTTGATTATAATTAGGTTTTATTCAAATTTAGCAACGCAAATATATAGATTTTACCTAATTTATTCGCTCATATTTTTAATATACAACACTACAGTATGATCAGCTGTTTAGTACAGATTTTAATTAAAAACTAACTCATATATAAAAGTCTGAAAACTCAAAAAACACAGAAGCATCTAACTTCTAGACTGAAACATGAAATATTTTGTTGCTTTATGCCTGATTGGCTTTATTGCTGCAGTTCCAATTCGTTTGTATCACTCTATCATTAAGTTTCGCACTTAAAACTTGAACACTCATATTGAAATTGAGTTTACTTTTGTATTTCAGAGGAAAGAACTGTTAAATTGGAAAATTTCAGAAGGGTTCGTCGATCTGTTGGCGAAGAACATGAGATTCATGTAAATGTTCCTCTTGAAAAGAATACACTCCAACTTAGACTAAAGAGAAATACCAACATTAATCCCAACATGAAAATCTCCTTTGCCGGCGGCGAAGATGCTCAGGGATATTTGGAAGGTGTTCAAGCCTATCAAGATTTAAACACTGGTGCTGCTGTTATGGTAACTGAAAAAGTAGAAAACGGAAGAGTTAGAAGATTTATCGAAGGAAAATTTGAAAATGAAGGTTTGGAAGTCTCTATTGCTCCAAAACAAAATGGCGGAGAGGATGAGCACGTTGTTGGTGTTCCCGGTCCACAAGCTCAAGCGTTCGACGCCCAAACCGAAATGGTCACCATTGATGATTTGGAAAGTAGAGTTAAAAGATCAATCTCCAAACCTCATTATCATATAGAATCTGCCGTTTTCGTTGACTATACAGTCTGGAACTATTTCCTCCAGTCTTCCGTAACAAATGGACAAGATGATACTGTTAAAAACATTAGATACTACTACAGTCAAATCATGAACGGAATTGACATGGTCTACAGAAGAATCAACGATCCAAGATTCATGATGTCGTTGTTTGTGAAAAAGTTCATCATCTTCAGAAACAGAGGCGAATGTCCCTTTACTGATGGACCAGCTCCACTGAATATGCCTGATCACGAAGGAAGACAAGTTATTAATGCAACAACGTCACTTTCCGAAATCTCTAAATGGATGGACAATACCGAAAACACTGGTGGCGAAGATTGGATGTCTTGGGATCATACTTTTGTATGGACAAAGAAGGATATCTACGGTGCCGGATACAGCACAATTGGATTCGCTCCAGTTGGAGGTGTATGCTCAAGAAGAGGTATCTCCATCAACGAAGATCTTGGTTTAGACTCGTGGAAGACTGCCGCTCATGAATTGGGACATAATCTTGGCTCTCCCCACGATGGCTCTGGCCCAAACACAGCCTGCGCAGCCAGTGTTCAGAATGTCATGACTCCAACACTTACTTATTACACAGTCAGTCAACTAAAGAATGCCTTTGTTCTTAGTCAATGTTCCATCAACTCAATCTATAACACAATCACCGGAAATTCGCAAAATGGCTTCCCGAGAGTGTGTCTGATGAACAAGGTTTGCGGACACGGCGCATTTAACAGCGATGACATTCTGAAAGATTCAGCTTATGCTGGCGAAAAGTACTCTTTGACTGAGCAATGCAAATTGAGATTTGGAAATGACGCCGTTGCCAATGATCGCGGATGTTCGGCTTCTGAAAAGGACGACGTTTGTCACCGTTTAGTTTGTCGTGTGGGAAACTTTTGTAAATACGAAGAGCCCGGCGCAGAAGACGGAAGTTCATGTGGTAGTGGAAAAGTTTGCTTAAAAGCTCGATGCGTTGCGGAAAGTCAATTGGCTCATTACAAAAGAGAGTCTCACAATACTGAATGTACATCCGGTTCTGTTCTGGATAGATCAGTTGGATCGAACTGTAACGATAGCCCGGTGAATGTTCCAGTCAACTATGGAAGTTATGTTAGAACTTTTACATCATGCGGAGAACTTGCTGGAGAAATGCCTCATGTTTGTTTTGGAAATTTCTTTTCAACTTGTTGCCGATCTTGTAGTATGAAAGGTTTGAAAGCTTCAAACAATAACATCGCCGAATCTTCTTCTCCATGTGAGCCAAATCCATGCAAGAACGGAGGTGTCTGTCGCCAGTACGGAAATTCAGAATATGCTTGCGAATGTGTTGTAGGATTTGAAGGGAGAAATTGCAATGGCGACGAAGGGCCAGCATCAACAACAGCTGCAACCACTACAGCAACGACAACAACTACTACTACAACTGTAGCTCCAACAACAACAACTAGAACTACCACAACTACTACCACTACTGCAGCTCCAACAACAACAACAAGAGCTACAACAACTGCTGCAACAACAACTACAAGCGGAGGATCATCTTCATGTACAGATACAAATCGATATTTCTATTTAAGAAACAAAAATGGTCAAGTATTTGCTTTGGTGAATTGTGCTGGAGGCGCAAAATATTATGGGGCTAATTTCTGTAATGCAGTACGAAATGTTTGTTGTTTATCTTGTCGAGGAATCTAGAAATGATACTTTTGTTAAGAGCATTTCAGTTAAAGTTTAATAAAAATTTTTAGCTTACAAAGCATCATTGTAATACTTTCCACTAATGCAGAAGAGTAAATAATAAGTTATTATCATGAAAGTATTTGCTAGTAGGACTTGAGTTGCATTGATAGAGCATTTTCTAGTGTAAATTTTAACTCTGATATTGATAGATTCTAGTATAATATCTATTTTATTAAATTTTATTAAAGATTATTATCTACTGTAAAACGATTTAAAAAACAAATCCAAATTAACAACAAACGTTTAAGTATTGTTGTTTTCAATATGAATATATCTTTAATACAAAAGGGAAGATTAGAAAGTTTAGATTTCAATGGAATTGAAATTTTGTTTACATAGAGGTCTATTAAGTTTTCTCTCACTCCTTAGTAGGTTGACCAAAGAAAAACATCAACAGAATAGAAGTTTCAGTATTAACATAAAGAAAATTGAAAGGAGATTATTCAGATTTACTGTGGACTAATGGATATATTTTTAACGTCCTTATTATGCAGCGATAGTTTAATTAAATTTAGGCAATACTCTTGCTGATTTCTTACCGAATTTAGTAAAAAAATGATGGTTTTATATAAAAGAATATCCTTTCTTGAGATTAGGGGTTTTTGAGCTATTTATTTCTGATATACATTGACAGTTTTATTAGTCACCGAAGAATATTTAGCTTATCTTTCAGTTTATTTATCAAATGAATGACCAGATTGCGTAACGGACAAGATTTGTTTGTTTTCGTGTCTTTCCTTTTTTGAAATCTTCTCAAAAGAGGAAAAACTATTAAATTTCTTATATAAGATTTATAAGTTTTAAATAATTTAGTATTAATATCTATAACATAAAACCAAATTTCACTCATAATTTGATATTCTAATGTTGTAGGAGTCTAAAATTTGATAATCTATTCCTTTTTCAGGAAACTTCTTTGAACTTCTAGTAGGAGCAACACTTAAAAATTTCTCTAACGTCGTTTCGAACAATTATATAAGCAAATTGAATTATACTGGGCTTTCTATTATAAAATCTATAATAGCGAAAAGTTTATTCAAAAAACATTATTGGTAAATTCTATGAAATTTACGTTTTCTTTTAAAGTTTTGCATAGAAGTTTATTTGAATTGATGCTATCTGACAATTTATGCTAGTTTGAGGTCACTCAGCCATAAACACTTCATCTCAAAAAGCATAAAAGTCACATGCATGAAAGCTACCCTTGTTTATTAAATACATCACATATTCCTTGATTAAGAACAAGTTCCAAGGTCAAAAATGTCACCTCAGTTCAGCATTGAATAATGTCTGGCAAATTATTTTTCTAAGAAATCGTCCATCAGTATCTAACGGTGAGATTGGTACTAATATTAGAAGTAAAAATGTATAATTTTTTTTCTGGTAAAAAGCTTAAATTACTTTTAGAATACAAAAGAAATCAGCATACTTACAAATATTATAGGCTAAAGTAACGATTTCTAATGATAAAGCAGAAAATATTCGCTCTTGGATAAAAAGAAATCACTCTCATCATAGCCTTTTCATAAAAAGAACAATTCAAATATGAGTAGCTATGTATATATATATATATTTGTGTCTATGTGTATTTCAATGGTTTTCTTTCTTGTTTTATATATAAAATTTCTGTATATTCTATTTTCTCTTTCTCGCCTCTCTTTCACTATTGCTCTCTCTCTCTCTCAATCTCTCTCTATTTCTTTTCTCTCTAGTTTACTTTACTGCGTCTGTCTGTCTCTCTTTCTTTCTCGCTCT